GGATATAATCATTTACATAGAACCTAGGGACCCTTTTATCCAGGAAGATAAAAGTTATTTTTATTATTAATCTTTGATCGTAAGTCAGCAGGTAGGCTGTGTGACATACATATATATAAATAAAGGAAACTTGACCATAAGTCTGCAGGTAGGCTGTGTGTTGAGCTATAAATAACCTATTAACTAGGAAACTCAGATTGCACGCTCACAGTACTATGAGAGGAATAGATAGTATAAAGATTCCAGTTTCAGGTTAATTATTAATTAAGGTCTTCAGTAAGTTCTGGATCTCAAATATATTAGGTTTAAAAAAGAATGTTTTTGTTGATTAACTTTAAAAAAGAGTAATTTCGTTAATTAATTTCTTATTAATAGTAGCATAGGAATATATAGAATAAAACTTATAGAATATACTTCTAGTTCAGACAGTTGCCTATCAATGAATCGTAATTTCACTTTACATGTAAGGATTACTCAAAATAATATTTATATATATATATATTAAATTATTAAATTTATATATTTATTGTTTTATGAATTATTAGGGTTTATATTTAATGGGCAAGGTGAAATGGAAAAAATCTATGAAATCATGTCTAAGTTTTAATGACAATGATGCATTTATTTAATATTTATACTAATACAATAATACAATTTCTTCCAATATACATAACAACAATTTCCATGAATATTAATATGTATTTACACTTTACTCTCAAATCAGGTATGTCTTCAATAGAGCTCCAAAACAGGTCAGGTCATGGTTTTAATTGTCCCAGGTCAACATCATGTTATAATTGCCTTTAGAAACCCAAAATTATTTTTGAAACTAGTATGGATACTAATAAATGAGTAAAAATAAATGGCAAAATAACAATTTTGACATAAAAAAAAGCAATAATTGATGCAAGTGTTTTATATAAATAAAAATAATAATAAATTATGTTATTATTATTATTATTATGATTATTTCAGAAAAATTATTTGGTGATGTTGTATGTGAAATTGAAATTATGTGAAATTGAAATATTATGGAGTGGGTGAAATTCTGATTGGCTAATTTGAATTTCACATATGTGAATTGCGAATTCACATAATTTCATTTTCATGTACAACAGCAATAAAGAGAATGTTTTGCACAATTTGTAAAGCACATCTACTGCTCTACCAACTCATGCACTTTCAAACCAACATGATGGTTCTTTTCTTCTAGAATAACCATGCAAGATTCTTCCAAAAAAGCCACTAATAATGGTAACAAACATATAATTAATATAATGAAAATGATTTACCGGATAGCAAAAGAAAATATTCCAATTTCTAAACTTCCAAGTCTTATTCATATCTTAAAACTTATAAAAATAGTGCACTCAATTCCATTTTCTAGTGTGGATTGTGAAAGAGGTTTTAGCAAACAGAATATTATCAAAACAGATTTATGTAATGCAATGGAAAGTGACATATTGCACTTATTAATGATGGTTGGTTTAGAATAAGGTTGCTTGCCGAAACTTCTTAATGACTGCCAAAACTCTGCTGAAACTCTAATAAACAATTAGTGTGTAACCTGCCAAAACTCTGCTAATTGTCAAAATCCCTAAAATACGAAACTCTGCTGAAACTCTAACAAACAATTAGTGTGTTACCTGCCGAAACTCTGCTGATTGATTTCCAGAGGAGTTTTGGCAAGCAACCATAGTTTAGGAGGTACTGATTTATTTTGTTATGATTTTAATGATGCTCTTAGTAAATTTTTTCAAAGTAAAAACAGAAGAATAAAATAAAGAAAATTCTTAAAAAATTTTAGCACCAAAAAATTTCCTTTTTTTTTAAATTTTTCTTCTGGAAAATTCTTAGCATTCAGGAGGAATTTCTGTTTTTTTTTCTGGCCCTATTTCCAGCCCTGATCTGCACCGTAATAACATCAATTTAGTACATCATAATCATAGTAATAGGACCTCGGACAATCATATTTGAACTGGTATATATATAAAAAGTTGTGAAAAAATACTCAGAATATCTTACTAAATATGACTAGTGGGTTTCCTTTTTGGGGCAATTTTTTTAAAACCCCAATTTTTATTATGTAAATGCTTGAAGATCTGACTGGTGTTTTAACGAGATCACTACCCACTTTTCTCAATACCAGTTCAATTATAATTGTCCGAGGTCCTATAGTAATAGTAAATGTGACGAATTTGAAGTATTTCAAATAATTGAAATAATAAAATCAACGTTATATTATGAAATATATAAATCAATATGTACCAATTGATTTGAGCCTAATCTAATTAAGATTTATTAGAGCAATTTATTGTTCATTAGGACACATGCCATTTATATAATATTTAGAATTACAGAAGTTGAATCGGAACTTTTGTAGAATATGCACCAGAACATTTGTTTGGTACTTGCTTATAATTTGGTAAAATAAATATGTAGAAGTACATAATTTCAATAACAAATATTGATAAGTCTAACACAGTCAGCATTAGGAAATTTGATGATAACATATTACAATTAGTTATAAGCCTTCACTTATGGTGACCATTTGGAACAAAACACTGAACATAGAAGAAACGTCAACAGGCTTTAGTAGACTTATTATTATTTCAAAGAGCCAGGATTCAAATTTCAAGTCCCTCTAACCATCCCGAATTTCCATTGTAACATATCCTTTGGGCCAAAAGGTTGTATTTGGAAAAGGAAATTTTAATAATTTGGACCATGAAATCATTCTTTGAGAACCCAAATTTTATCTTGACACATTTCAACCAACCACATCAATTATCATTTTTTCTTTTCCTTGAAACATGCATAAAAATCAAAACAATCATTCAATTGAACCTCCAGCATCAAAAACTGCTGGTCTTTATGAAAAATTAATATATGGAGAAACTTCTTTTGACACTGCAGCTAGATATAGGCAGCCATATATATTTTGAAAGGATTCGCAATTGATCATGAATATTTATCCAAAATTCATTTAAATCAACTCCACCAATGAAGTTATCCACAATAATTGTCCATTCATTGAACAATTCACAAAAGGAAGATTCTAATTTGTTGATTATTTTAAAGGACCAAGTAAAATAGGAAAGCAAGCCTATGAATTAGAGGTCAATCAATAATAACCTTGGTCTGAATCAACGATCACAAGAGAAGACTAAAAATAATTAATAAGAAGCCCAAAGATGATGGCTGATGCCAAAAATAATAACAAACAAAAAGACAGAATAATTATAACATTAACCAATGAATAAGCTCAAGTACAAGCAGGGAATTGGTTATACAGGACCTCAATCAGACATAAACTAGTGACCACTAATAATAAACTAGAGAACTAAAGAATCAAGATGAAGGAAAAGGAAAAGTAGAAGCTTGCAGGAAATAAATAAATATATTTATATATCATGTATTACTATATAAATAATAGAAGCACATAGATCTTGGTGATGAAGTAATCATTTAATATCTGCAACATTAGCTAAAAGGCCAACTCCAATAATATGTAATTAATTATTATTCAATATTATTATTAGTAATATTTAAAATATGTTTAAATGATACATGTGATATGTTAATGATGCATAATATCTAAATGATATGCTAATAATACATACAAGAAATAAAATATATAGATAAAAAAAATTATTATTATTATTTGAATATATATAAAGATCTAATTAATTAATTATTCGTTAATGGTGAGAATTAAAGGAATGGGGAAAGAAACAAGGGATTATTGAATTACTATTTCTTGAGAACAATTGGCACTACAAAAACAAAAGTTTTAAATTAATAAACTTTCTTTGTAATATATATAATTTTTTCATTATTAAATATTACTCACAAATAATAATCAATAATAAAACAATTATAGCAGAAGCAATAATAATTCTCATTTTCATATCTTTCCACCACATTTGCTTTCGTACTTTATTTGCTCCACGACGAAATCCTTGAGCTGAAATTGATAAATTTTCTATTTTTACAAAAAAAAAAAGATTTTCACAGTTAATAATTTAATATTGACAAATTCTTTTCTCACTCTTTCACATAAAATTATCTACCAGTTTTGACATGTAATGTATCTAATCTCTCTCCTCTTTCAGCAACAGTTTTAAGATTATCACGCATAATTCCTACTGTCTCATCGATTTGTTTTTGGATTTCCACAGTTTTTGAAGGCGGGCCGCCAGCAGTACCTTCCTTAGGTAAATATGGGTCATATGGTCCAGAAGACCTATTAAAAAAGAAAATCAAGTATTACTAATGTCGTTAATGTCTGTTCCTTCAGTCAGTGAAATAAAATCTTTTCGTTTTTCAAATTAATTCAATTAATTTCTCCAAATAAAGTTTCAAAATGCTTTCTTTATGTAAGCTTTATGTTCTATATATTAAATAATACGTACATTTTGTTATTTCAGTGATTCCTTGGAGAGAATATCAGATAACAAATATTTATTATTAATGATATATTTTTTTGAAATTCTTTTAGTGGAGAAAGAAAAATAAGAATTAAAAGTTTTACATTTTATTATTATTATTGCTGTTGTTGTTATAATTTCCGATGAATGAAACTAGTACTAGTTTAGTATCACTATTAAATATGGTGAATATTAATAAATAAAAAAATTTCTACATTTTGTTTTGCGTGTTACATGACTAAATTTATTTAAAAATCAATACTTTGCCTCGGATTAATATAAAAAAATTGTATGACTGATTACAACGCATGACGTAAGGTGTCATCGTCTCTCATTACTGCTTTTAACTTTGCATCTTCATTTAAAAATTATTAATAAACACTCAATTTAAGCAAATGCCTTTTATATATTATTGATAAAAATTGGTGTCACAGAACCAAACCATATTTGAATATACGTTAGTGCTAGTTTTTATGATATTTGGGCGACTTAAAACAGAACCAAGTTATTAACCACACGGTGCATCTTGTTTAGCGGACCTTGATTTATGGACTTTGGGTTTAACGGAGAACAATTTTATTTTTAATTAAACATGCGTAACAGAAACTTATTAAATAATTTTGATTTTAAAAACTGTCAAATAATTAAAAAGACAACGTCAAATTGATGGGTTTATGAGTGAGTCTTTGATATATATTTATTTGTTATTATCATTTTATTAACATATATAAACAAGAGAACGCAATGCAAGCTTTTGCTTTTCGTGTTACAAATTACGCACACCGTTCTACGCGAGAACAAAAGTTCATTTGGATTTGGGATTGCATCTTCTTCGTCGCAAAGAACAAAAAAATGATATCACTCGGGCCAAGACAGTAGTCTATTTTATTAAATCCAAAGTTGGGTAATTAGGAAAATTTTCCAAAAATCCGTTAAACCGAGATATCTGCTATATCGAGAAGGTTTTTATTAAGGTTTATTATGGCACCGTTCTTTGAGCATTATCCGTAAAACTGTGATTTTTAATTAGTATCTGCTAAATTGGGGTCCGCTGAATCGAGATTCACTATGTAAATAGGACAGCTGCTCCCTTTTTTTTTTTGAAAATATTTTCATGAAACAAAAGTCGGATCTTAATCTTTATTATCATCCTCAAAAATGATGATTCATTATTGTTGTTTGCTACTTGTTGCTATAATAATAAAAATAAACAACAAAAGAGAGAGGTAATGTCACTAAGGGACAATACATCCAGCATGAGCCACCAGCAAGAATTCCCTTCTCTCATTTGCTGGACTTTAATAACACATTTAGGTGAGTCACGTGGGTTCGCCATTGCATGTCTTAAATTCTATTCCATAATTTTTATTGCGTAATCTATAAAAAAAAAAAATTTCAAAATAATTCAATAGAAAAAGTATAGTTGGCAAGTTTTTGGAAATAACTGTTAAATACAAGATGCATGACGACATACGAAGCTTCCAAAGGAGTCCGTAAAATATACTGATGAACATTTTTCAATTATTTAATAGTTTGTATAGGCGCAATCAAAGTAAGTGTTAAATACAAGATCAAGAAGTTTGAAAATCAAGTTTTGCAAATGAACATTTTATCAATTATTCAATATTTTGTATAGGAGTGATTGAAATAAGTGTTAAGGCAAGATCTGTGAAGTTGTTTGCAAAATATATTTGATGAATGTTTTATCAATTATTCAAATATAGGCAGGTTCGATCGAAATAAGTGCTAAACTCAAGATCTATTTGCAAATCAAGTTTTCCAAAATGAACATTTTATTATTCATATAGGCGGGTTTGATCAAAGTAAGTGTTAAAGTCGAGATCTATGAAGCTGTTTGTAAAATATATTTAATGAACACTTTATCAATTATTAAATAATCATATAGGCGGGTTTGATCAAAGTAAGCATTAGACAAGATCTATGAAGCTTGCAAAACAAATGTTTATCGATTATTCAATAATCATATAGGCGGGTTTGATCAAAGCAAGTGTTAAAGTCAAGATTTACGAAGCTTGCAATCCAGCTTTGCAAAATGAACGTATAGACGTGATTGATCAAAGCATTTTTAGTAATAAACGAATAATCCATTCAATTGTCAATTAATTTAAGCGCACGACGCTTTTTACTTTTAGTAATAATAATCAATCCAATTGTCAAATAATTAAAAGTAACCGAATAATAAATTCAATTGTAAGTGTGTAATGCTTTTTTCTTAAAAGTAAACGAATCAATGATCCAAAAAAAAAACAGGACATATGATAATAATAGTAAAAAATGTTTTTTAGCATTTTTAGTAATAAACAAATAATTAACTAATTAAAACATAATGCTTTTCTAAATCCAATGGTACGATCCAAAAAAACAGGACAAAATGTTTTTTAGCATTTTTAGTGAATTCAATTGTCAATTAACTAAACGCATAATACTTTTCTTAAAAAGTAACAATCAATGGTACAATCCAAAAAAAAATCAGGACAAATGATAACAATAGTAAAAATGTTTTTGATAATAGAATGATGCTTTTCTTATAAAAGTAAAATAAACAAATCAACAGTATGATCTTCATCACACTAATTAAATATTAAACAAAAAAGAAAGATGCTTCACCACCAAAAATTTATTCTAGTATATATATGATAAAATAAATAAACAATAAAAAACAATACCGAATTCAATTATTGAAATTAAATAGTTCTTAAATGTAAAATAAACAAAATTTTTATTCTTACCAAACAGTTCTTTGGTTGGAAAAAAAGATATTTATTACTATTGCACGATCATGTGGAAAAAAAGTATTGATCATGCCTCTCCTCACCTTTCAAAGCATTGCATGCACACTTGCAATTGAATCTATTAAGAAACGAAACATTTGCCGTACGACACAATTTTTGCTAAATATGGTGAAAGCATTGATCATGCCAACAGTCAAAAAGACCAAGCGCGGCTAAACGCAAAAGGAGACAATCGGCGAGAAACCTGCACGAAGGTCACTCGCCTTACTGATTTTGGAAGGTGGCCATGACACGGCAAATGTTTCGTTTCTTACTTTGTAAAAAGAATATTCAGTTCAGTTCAGTTACGATACGAATCAGCATGAATCAGCACAAATATTCTAAACGTCCTGTTTCTCAACTTTAGTAAACTGAATTTTTGGGAAGGATAAGATCAAAATCAAAGGGTAAAACTTTGTGATGAGTCTTTTGTTTTTTCTTTGCTGCGCTGGCTTGAAATGATTTGCATTGATTTGAAATTTTGTTAATTAATTAATAAAAATTGAAATTTGAACAGAAATATTTTCGTTTTCCAAAAAAATGATAACTGGTTATGGTCACCTTGACCATAGATCAAAATATGTTTGCTCTTGGTCGGTTCTATGTGGTGATGAGTTGATCTCCTTCCTATGGACATTTTTGATTTCAGCTTCGATTCCTTGAAGGTAGGCAGGAACGTTGATAAATGAATACAAGGGATTGAAATTGTTAAACGAAAAGGGTCAATGGAGATGAGTCAACGTTAATTTGGTTTTTCGTAATAGTAAATAGATGTTGAAAACATTTGTCGAAAGCATTTTTTGTTAAAATTAGACTATTTTGTATGTCGTTTACTATAGTTAATGTTAAATTAGACTGTTTGGTATCACCATGATAACACATGCAAGCTTCTACTTTTTTTATTACAAGCATATAAGTTAAAAATCTTAATCTAGTAATAAACATCTCGACTTCTTTCTACGTACACGTTAGGCTATTAATAGATTACTTTGTACGTATAGTGCAAGTCACTTATCAAAAATGCAATAAAAATTTTACAGTCACATGATTTTTGAAGATCGTCAAGTGTTAAATATATAAAATTTTTCTTTACATTTATTCCTATAAATGATTAGAACAATAAATAATGATTATAGTGATGTTATTAAATATAAGTTAAAATAAAAGATAAATTTATATAAACTATTGAATGATTGATAAAACCTTCGTTAGTATATTTTGCTCATAGATCTTGTCCTTAAAACTTACTTCGATTACTCCCACATAAAGCTATTGAATAATTAATAAAACGTTTGTTAGAATATTTTGTTCATAGATCATGTCCTTAAAACTTACTTCGATTACTCCTACATAAACTATTGAATAATTAATAAAACGTTTGTTAGAATATTTTATTCAAAGATCTTGACCTTAAAACTTACTTTGTTTACTCCTACATAAACTATTGAATAATTAATAAAACGTTTGTTAGAATATTTTATTCAAAGATCTTGACCTTAAAACTTACTTTGATTACTCCTACATAAACTATTGAATAATTAATAAAACGTTTGTTATTATATTTTGTTCATAGATCTTGTCCTTAAAACATATCCACCACCATGCAAGTACAAAATAACCTTATCATATTTTTTCTTGTTGCTATTGTTTTCTTCTTTCTTAACGTAAACCCATTCACATTCTAACCCATCTCCAAGATTAACACTTCTCCAATCATCAAGAAGCACGTGATTATAATCTTTCAAAATCTCATCAATGTAAACTTCCGATTTTTTACGAAGTGAATTTGACAATGACAGCTCATCTACATGTACACCATCATCAACAGCCCTATTGACCATAAACATTTTTTGAATATATTCGAAAGGTTTACCAGACATATCTTTTGTAATGTTGAACATCAAATAAAATTTTAAGTCCCATGATGGTTGTGGTGGTCCGTAACGATAATAATTAATGGTGGACAAGAATAACATGGGTACTTTTGGAAGCAAGGATGTGAAATCCGACATCTTTTATTTTATTATTATTATTATTTTTTTATTGAATTTTTTTTTTAAAAAAAAAATTATTTCATAAAATCATGCATTTATTTATTTTTTACTCTGATTTTAAAATATTAATTCAATTCATTTAACACATGACAATTGAAATCAGTTATGTCGATTATAGTTGGACCATTACTAACTACTTATTACAATAGAAACAGAGAGAAAACAAGGCATGTGTTTCTATTTATATATTGATAATTCAATATAAACAGCTACTCCGAAGGCTTTTGCATTCTGTTTTACGATAAGATTACCCCCTTAAAATATTAGTCTAAAAATAATTAGCCAATTTTGCCGTAGTATATACTCGATTTATTTAACAATTATTAATAAAGGCGTGAAAAAAAATTCTAATTTTGGAATAAAACATTTTTTGTCCGATATAAATATTTCGAAAATCTTGACAATTATTTATTAGTCTTGGAAATCTTTTTTATTTTTATCAAAATGCGCTAACCTACAGTTTTTCAAAAAAGGAAATCTTCTACAGTCCGTTTTAATAAATAATACAATATGCAAATTGCAATTTTTGAATTTTGCAAACTGCAGATTGCAAATTGCATATTGCAAAGATTTGTTTTTTTTTGAACTTTTAGTATACTGAATTTTTGGGGAAGAATGAGAGCAAAATTGAAACACAAAACATTGTGGTGAACAAATTTTTTTTTGTGTTGACACAATTCGTCAAAATGATGATCATCAAAAACTTTCTATTTTTGTTTTTTTTTTTAAATAATAAAAATAGTAATAATAAATTTTTATAAATTTTAATCATGTTCATTGATTGTTGTTGACAATTAAAAAACCATTGATTTGTTCTTTTCTGCTTATTAATGATAATAAAATAATATGGTGATAATTTTTTTCCCTAGGTTGTTGTAATTTCTGCGATTCTGAAAATTATTTTGATCGTGTCACATATTTACGAAAACCGGTTTACGTCGTGTGACTGTACAAAAAGCACGTTAATGTTTAATTATTATTATTATTATTATTATTTTTAGAAAATATCGGAAGAAATGTTTTTTTTAAAAACAGTCAAAGCCTCCTTGGAAATTCAATTAGTGCTATTGTTATGAGAACGATGACTTTACATTTTGCAAATATCAAGAAAGAACTTCCAGTCTTCTTTTTTTAGATAAAATGAAATTTCTTTTAATTTCAGAGATTTCTACTATGCTAATAATGTGTAGTGGGGAAGAAAAAAAAACAATCAATCTAAGATTTGAGAAAGCCTCTTATCTCCTATCTACACAGAACCAATCATCTTAAAAAATCCTGAATCCAAAAAAAATCATCTTTGTTACTGTTGTGTGTGAAATTGAAATTCGTAAATAGTTTTTGATCAAAGGTAAAAATTTGGCTAATCGCGAAAAATAAAAAAAAAGAATTAGTTGATTCGTTTTTTTTTTTAATAACAATAAACAATAAAGTTTGATTGTTTATTTAATGATAACAAAAATAAAGGTTATTGTTCAATGATAATGAAAATAAAGATCAATTGTTTTTTTTTTATTGAAAAAATAAAAAAAAATAAAGATTAATTGTTTTGTCGCAAGAAAAATTTGGCTAATCGCGAAAAATAAAAAAAAAGAATCAGCTGATTCGTTTTTTTTTAATAACAATAAACAATAAAGATTGATTGTTTATTTAATGGTAACAAAAATAAAGGTTGATTGTTCAATGATAACGAAAATAAAGATCAATTGTTTTTTTTTATTAAAAAAAATAAAAAAAATAAGATTAATTAATTGTTTTGTCGCAAGAAATAAATAAATAAGTCTGCCATCTTAACTTTTTGTTTTTTTTTTTTTATGTTTATTAAAAACAACAATCCACAATAAATTTGTATACATCTTTATTATTTATCCAACAACAATTCGTGTTTTTTTAAAAAAATATTATCACAAAAAAAAATCTTACGTATTTATTTGTCAAAATGCCATGTTTAATCAACTTGATTGTTTACGTTACAGAAACAAGAGAAATTCCTACAATTAACAATTTTGTCATGAATGCTGCTGTTGGAATCACCAAATCTTTAACTGGAGAAGAATTTGCTGTCCATATTGTTGCTTTCTATCCAAGAGATCCTGATGTAAAGACAAATCTACAAAGGATAGAAGCAAACCAATTCGCTCGGGTTGGAGGGAAATTTATGATTGATGACACAGATGTGGACAATTCAAATATGAAGTTCTTGAAGGTGTGTATTGTTTTAGAAAATTGAAAAAAAAAATTTTTTTATAATCAATGGAAAATTTCATTTGAATTTGTGCGCGTTTTTTTTTTAACTAACATATCACTCTTCCAGGTGATGGGCGACGAATTTAACAATCATGGAACTTGAGAATGAAGAATTAGAACCATCAGACATTGTTGTAACAATGACTGCAACAGCAATGAACCAACACGGAAGGGATGAGTTCAACATCAAAATCAAAATAAAATTGGGCGACGTTAGTCGCCCACAGATGCAATTGCTAGTTATTATTATTAAAATAGTTTTAAATAGAACTGACTCCAGTATCAATGTTTTGGCGCGACAAAATTTGCCCATATAAAGAAATTTATTTCATTAATTTAAAATTTTTTCCTGCAAAAAAAAATATATAATTCCTTTTTAGGAAGAACTAAAGGAAATGTCACCCAATTCAAAATATTTGGTGATGTTAAATTCGCCATGTTAAAAGTAGTTGGCACAATAACCTTACCATAACACCATGGTATTTTGAGGCATATGGCCAATCATGGCATTTTTCCTAAGCATCTATCTAATTAATTGATGGATGTTAATAATCATTATTTTTTTTTGTTTATTTACAGTGTTAAAGTTTATATATTCATGGGGTCTGTATATGAAGTAAACATAGTGGTGGTTCCGAAAAACCCTTCTTTTTTGAAAGTAGGCTGTGAAAATATTCAAGCCACAAACTTGTTTATTTTAAGAAAATATAGAAAAAAATGTTAGTTGAACTTGGATTTTTTTAATTGGAAAATTTTTATCCATACAAAAAATGCATACATATTCATCAAAACCTAAGGTGCAAAATATATAGTTTTTAGGTATTTATGTATATTTTTAAAACATACAATAAAAATATATTTCACGAATCAGCAAAACCTCAACCTTCATACATCAGGATCTTAAAAATTAAGCTACATCGCGTTAATTTGCATTTATCAGCTACACTGCCTGGAAGAAAGTATCCGAACCTCGATTTTTATTAATTCCGCAAACTTTTACATAATAAAAATTTTTTTTGAAAATATCATCATGTAGCTTAGGTTCTAACGAATGTGTATGCAATATTTCACAATTCTGGTATTTATATTAATTTTTTAACCAAAAAAAAACGAACTTCAATTAAATTAGTGATTTTCATCCTCGAATTTTGTTTAAATTTGTATTTTCTCAAAATTTTACATAACGAGAAAAAAACCAAAAACACCATTTTTTAGCCTAAATTCTAAGATATAATTATGGAAAAAATTATTCTCCTGTCATTGGTAGAAAATTTGTTATTAAAAATAATCTGACAATAATAAAATCGATTAAATCAAAAAAAATTTTTAAAAATGCCAAAAAATTCCGAATTAACTGAAGCTGAGTGTGGAAAAATTTTGAGTCTTAGATTAGGCGGTAGTAGTCTTAATAAAATTGTAAAGATACTTAAGCTTCCAAAAACTACAGTTTATGGTACCATTAAACGTTATGAAAATGCTGAAAGCCTAAGTGCACCAAGAAGTGGACGTCCCTGTGCATTAAATGTTAGTGAACAAAAAACTCTCAGAGAAATTGCATTAAAAAATAATCGCAGTTCTGCAGAAGAGATTCAAAGAAAATTTGTTGGTGTCAGTGGTGTTGAAGTGTCAGTTAAAACAATTCGCAAAAATTTGCATGAACTTGTGATGTTTTAATAAAATTTTGGTTTTTAGAAAATTTTTGATCATTTTATATTTTTTATATTAATTGAAGTTCGTTTTTTTTTTGGTTAAAAAATTATTATAAATAGCAGAATTGTGAAAGATTTTATACACATTCGTTAGAACCTAAGCTACATGATGATATTTTCAAAAAAATTTTTTATTATGTAAAAGTTTGCGGAATTAATAAAAATCGAGGTTCGGATACTTTCTTCCAGGCAGTGTATATTCTATTGTACTACTTTTAAATTGATTAACGTCACGCTGTTAAACGAAATTAGTTTTACAACGCAAACTATAGATACATTCAGTACTGTATGGTCTACAAAATAGAAATTTTTTTAAAAAAGTCATACACCAACATACAGTACACAGTACCCTACCAATCAAATGGGTTCTGTACTCGTAACATTTAATACAGAAATGCTGATTTGCAGATCATACAGGAATGCAAAAGTCGAAAGGATAATACTTTTCGACAACATTTCATAGATTCTATGAAATATCCAAATACACCGAAGCAATTGCATATGCTTTCCCGAAAGTGTGCTGTATTGCTTTTAGATGTGTTTACGAGGATATATCAGCACGAAATCAGTATTCTTTGAATACTAAAACTTCATCTAATGGTATTAACTCATACAAATTGCCATCTTTAGTTTACGAAATAACCAATCGTCACCTTCCAAGAGGCTTTGTTACTTCTAGGAAACCATCTACAAACATTTTTTACAATTACGTATATTGTGATTACACTAACTATACTAATTTGAATAATTGTAGTGTATATACTCACGTGTGGACATGGTTATCACAATCATTGTCTACAAAGATGTCAATCTAAATGTTTGATATCTTCAAGTCGAAATCAAAAAAAATGTCAACACACTAAAAGAAAGTACGATGAAAAATATTAAATGAAAATGAATTTATCGAAAATAACGAAA